AAAAACAGGTTGGCAAGTTATATCTTGGAATCGATGTTCGCGCGGGGAATAAGCTCATGTACTAAAAGCAGTTATACTAGGTCAAGCATAAAATCGCAATTCAAACTCTAACATTGACTGTTTCGACATTCGGAGTGTGAAGTAAGATAATTTATATCGCAACTACTTTGCATAATTAACCCCACGTTATAATAAAAAATATATGCTTGTACGTTTCAAAGAATTAGAAATAAAGAAGTAGGATATAGATTTACTTTATACTTGGATACAACTATCGGACACTATTATCTGCCTCATTGGCTGATACAATTGTCATTTTTACATTTCTTGCTAATAGAGTTATTTACACTTTTGCTATTAATTTATTGTTATATTATAGTTAAACACAAACACATGTAACATGCTTTAAGAGAATAAAAAATTATGTCTAATCAAAGTATGGAAAATGTAATTAAGTCATGTAAGCATCCTATCTTTGATTCTTTATTTTGGTTTGACAATTTATTTGATAAAAATAGAATCTATGAAACATGCATTTATAAAAGCTGTAACATAATAAAGCTATTGAACTTATCATACTCGAATCTAACGGGTGTCGTCACGGAATGAGGGAGGTCCCAGATTCGAACCCAGGCTGAGGTAATATCTTTCGCAATAAATTTAATTATTTAATTAAGATGCTTATATATATATTATAAGCATCTAAAATTACATCAATTTTAGAATGACCAGAATCCTTGGTCGAAACGCGGTGACGATTTGTCACGACGATTATAATCGTTGCCACGATTATAATCATTGCCAGTACAGTCGATTAAATTCTTAATTGGGTTAATTATTGACTGGCGAAGTAAATGTTATTTATTTGGCTATAATTTAAATTATTTATTTATATTAAACAAGTTTTGTTTATGGCACTTGCCAACTGTTTAGCGAATTTTACTATTAATTATTATAATTTGCTGCATTACTATTATAAACTATTATTAGAGATATTATATATTACTTATAACTAAAACTAATATTGTTATGTCGATATCGCTCTTATATTATTCATAATATAATTGTCTCAATTTATAGATATGCAAATTTGTGCGGCATAGCAAAATGCAAGAACTTGAATGTATGAGTAGTGGCTAATGTAACAGTGCGCAGCTTGATAAAAGATAATCTTCGATCTGTCATAATAGTAAATCCGCTTTATTTACAGATAAGTGTTCGAGCGTAAAAACGGCGCTATGAACTCGTCACATAGCTAACATATAGATAGCATATGGTACGCTTTTCCAACTTTCCCCGAGTTTCAAAGCTGCAAAGCTTGTAACAAGTAAAACACGCTAACTGAACTCACAACAGTCGTCTGTTGCAACTATTTCTCAAGAGGCGTTTCCCCGGCATATGCTTTCCTGCAACTATATTTCATCCCACCATAGATCTATAATAATCTTATCGTTTTTTTTTTTTTAATAATTCTGCTTTCTTCCATTGCCATAAATTTTTGTATTACGTAACAGGATCGTCATGGAAATTTTTAAACGTTTATTTTTATGATTAATAAAATGATAAAACAGAATATAATAGATTTGCTTTGAAAGAGACCGGGAAATAATTTGGATAAATGATAAGATTATAGCGGTTGAATTAATTCACTATTGGTCGTCATCGATGTCGCATCGATGTGCCATGAATATTTTATGAAAATTACAAATCCTCTGAGCTTTCGATAGGGCTGGGCATAAAGAAAGGCGCGGTACCTATATAAAGTAAGAATAATAAGTTAATAATAATATACGTACGCACGTGTGCATTACGTGAGATTAGAAAAGATTTTTTTTTTCCAAAAAAGAGGCTGTAAGCACATCTAATTTTCACTTTCGACATACACCAAATTCGATTTCTCTTTCATACAGAAATTATTCGTGTAGCAGATATTTTTGAGATAAACGGAAAAAAATCTTTGTCAGCAAAAATAATACAGGACACTATATTATAAACATATGCAACACACACACGTGTATATAATAAAATATATAGTGGAGATCAATGAGAGAAAATCAGAATTAATAAGGTAATTTTCTTCAGGAGCCAATTTTGCACTGATATATAGATGCTTTTAAAAACACTCCTTCCATTGGATGGATCCATTTCCAATATCTACAAAAAGCTGGGTGAAAAAAAAAACTTTTCTACCGACCTAATATACAATACGCGACATACATATTGACCCATCAGTCATCAGCCCTTGCTCTGTGATGGCGGCATGAAACATTTCGTACGGTGTTTATTGACAAGTAGTTGGCGTTGGTTTGACTAACGGGCGCGCAGTAGACGGTTCAAACTCCAGCTCGACATTGTGTGTCGCAAACGTGGGCCATTTCCCTGGCTAATGATTTTCAATCACGATAATGCATCAAAGCGATATACGTGTGTATGTATATACATATACGCGTGCGCGCGCAAGCGGGCCCATTGTTATTCGCCAGCTCCTGTAACGCGTACCGGCATCACCAACCCCGTGTAATTTACTTCCGAGGCAGTGGGTCGTCGAAAACATGCACTATCGTTGTCGCTAATAATTTCTCCTACCGTTACATTATTATTGCAGCGTGGCCCACTGCGTCAGTGGCTTTATAACGGTCTCTTTGTAACGGTATAATTATAACTTTGTAAAGGTGCACGCTTGATGTCTCTGCTTTCGACATAAAAATATAAATTCTTTGGTTGTCCCCTTCCCTATTCTATTCAGTCTGATACAAGCTTCTCTTGATCAAATAAAATCAATTGCTGACATGCATTAGAATTTTTTTCAATAATGGATCTAGTAAGTTTTATAAGAATATTGAAAGATATTCATTTATATTAACTGCGTGTGATACATAATGTAAAAAAATAATGACTATTATATCATAAGAAAATATTTGGTTATCACTTTCAATATCATAATCATCACGATTGATTGATGCTAATTTGGAAATTGATATAAATCTTTTGAACGTTGAGTAATTCTTATGAAAAGCTGATAGTCAAAAGTGATGATTTTATACGCTAATAGTGCGATTCTTGTCTTTCTCGTCATGCAAAACAGTATCTAGAAGAACGGAGTCTGAATAAATCTACATCATTTTCCCCTCGGAGCATCGTCACGCGACGCGCCACGCGTAACGCGCAACGCGAAAGTACAAAAAGAGTCATACCCGACGACATCATCCCTGTGTGGTGCGTACGCAGCACCTGAAGCTATAAGATAGGATTTATTATCCTTACGAAGAAACGACAGGGGATTTCCATCTTCCATGTCAAAGAAAATTTAAGAGACTCCACGGTCTTCATAAAAAGATCTCCCTCAATACTTTACGTAAACATGACAAACGCCGACGAAAACTATAAAAATTTTGCTAGAGGAACTTTGCATACCTCAGTCGCGTAATAGCAAAGTTCTATTTTCCCTGTTACTCTATAATTCTACCCCATAACACCATAATTCTATACTATAATTTTCTGATTATTATATAAATTTCTGCAACTTCCCACCATAATACATTTAAACCGCTTTACTTAAGCCATCTTCATTCAATTTTGGAATTAAAATAATCCTGTGCACATTCTGTATAATCTTCTCATCACGTGTAGCTTTAGATCGACTTATTAGGAACTTTATTTTGCCGTATGTTTAAATTACGATATCTCAAATGAGAAATATAAAATTATCGTACATAATATTATATACTTTAAATTATACATATATTAATAACATTTAATTAAAAATATCAAACAAGATAAAAATCAAATTGCATCTATTTATTATATCGATTTTTTGTGGTTACTCGATACTTGTCTGGTGAAAAGAATGGAAATAAAATCACAAACTACATAATTTTGACGGTTATGCTGAACTTTTAATTAGTTCTGAATTTTGAAACTTTAGCCGCAAGGACCCATTGGTTAATATAATGGTACTTGAAATGTATTTGTACGTGATGTTTTACGCATATCTTCTTTGAAGACGAATAAGCTAAAATGCTAATCAAGATATACAACCAAATAGATTCACCTTCATTTATTCGTTCGATTGCTGTTGCTATTTTTGAACACATATATAGGAATATATAGGAAATTCCTGCAGATTCCGGAAATTCAAGGCATTTCAATTAAGAAAATCGATATTGAATTACATGCTTGATTTAACCCTTCCATAACTGCCAAAGAATTTATTTATAATGTTTAAATCTCAATGCGACAATATGAAATGTTATTATACACTAGAAAATCAGCGCGACTAATAATATAATGATTATTAATTTCGAAAACTCACCTAACTATGCAGAATTATAACAGAAAATATTGATTTGTATAATAAATAATTAATAATAAGTAATTTTTCTCTTTAATTTTAAACGAATATGTATATATAAGAATGACAAATTAACTTATGTCACCATGCACCTTATTTCTCCAAAATTAATCAAATTAATCACTTTATCAAATTGATTAAGCTCAAAATTAAATTAAGAATTACTTAAATAAAAAATAACAAAAATTTTGCATTTCTAACTGTTCCTTAATTACAAATTTATAAATCATTAATTACAAATTTTACAAAACTTCTACGCGCTTATTTATTATAAAGCTATAATTATAAGATCATATAGAATTTTTGTGCAATATTATTTAATCACGGATTGTTTGATTAATTTGAGAGCGTAATCTTTTCAATAAGGACAATATTAAGAGAAGCTATCAGTTATCTTGATCTTTCAATTTTTAACATTATATTTCTTTATAATTAAATTTTAAATTAAAATTTTATTAAAGAAACTTAAAATTAACTAAAACGTGTTATTATCTGTACGGCTCCTTTCAGTATATAAAGATCCTTTACTTATCAATCATTTATAAAATTGATTTTAATATTATTCAACTAATGGTTGTTGGTTACCTATTCACCTATCGTTTACCTATTTTTCAATATCTCGATAATGCAAGAAAAAAGAAAAACTCACGTTGACTGCTACTGCGTCTTATAATATTTTCCAGGAACGTGTTTTGGGGGGCTACCAGGCCCCTACGCCCCCCTGGCATCCTTTCTTTATTGAATGGTTCCGGATCCTGGTCGCTGCGGTGGCTATCAGGATCTCGGCCAGCTTGTACCGGCTAGGATGATTATAAGCTGCCAGCAATACGTAACGAAAATCCTTCGTATTTTCTCTTTCTCTCTCTTTCCCCTTCTTTTTTCACTCTTTTTTCACCAATGATTCACTTCAGGTATATCTCTTGATATACATATAACAAAATGACGGTACACCTCACGCACTTTCGTTTGCGATAACGCTCGAACGCTTCACGCGACGATTCACTATTGCGATTCATTAGACTGGTATCGTACAACGCGCGCGAACTATTCAGCGCCAGCACTTATCCGGGCAAAGTCTGGTACGTTAAAACAATTTCAACACGATTTTATGTAATTGTGTAACAAGTGACTCTCCGAAGCAAGCACTCAGTTTGCAGAGGGATTTTACAATTTTACAATATGAAATGATTCCGCAGCACTCTCGATAGAAAAAAAAAACGCCTGGTAATTTTTTATGATCACTTCCGGCAAATCAATAAAAGCATTTTGTTATATATTTATGGAACTTATGAGACAATTCAATTTTGGCGTTTTGTTTTGGCGTTGAAAATTATCGCGATTGCCCACGATTTTTAGATCGACCAAAACTTCCGAAGTAAAATAACGAAAAACAGAGAAGACCGCGAATTTTTTCGTCGTGGATCCTCATGCCATTTACTATCCCATTAAGCGATCGAATGGAAGTCCAACAACAGACTTCCGTCGATGATTCTTCGATAAATACTTAATAGCGAAGATGGGAGTAACGACTTCTTTCGTCACCTAAACGACGTCCTCCTTTCTGACGTCATCACGGCAGCAGGAAATGGCGCAGCTACATGAACCAACGATTTTCTCGACGAGGAGAAGGAAGAATGGATTGTTTCGTAGGAATCGATCGCCTCGAGATTAGCCGGTTGGAAAAATTGATTTACTGGTTCGCTCAATTTACTCTGAAAAATTGACACGTGTTTAACACGTATAATTGTTCGCTCGCTAATTGATAATCGATGAAAGGCAAAAATCAATCGATCGATTATCGGGAATCGTTCCTTGAGATCGACGATTCTTTCGAGCCGGTTTATCCTACTATCCTTTCGCTGGATCGATTTAACAAATTGGATCAGCGATTCAACCGGGAAGCCGCCGATGCTCGAGAGGATTAGTATTGACCCAAAGGACCGCTCAACACCGGCGGCGGCGGCGAGTGGTGTGTCGTTGGTCAATGGTCCACCTAGCCTTTCGAGGACCCTCGAGCGCGCTTCAAATTTGCTTATCGATTTGCACGTTCGGCACTCATTCGGAATTCCAGTCGCACGTGCTTGACCGCGCACGCTTGATTCGGCGAATTCGTTTATCGACTTTCCTGACCTCGCCTCGAAGACACTGGCCGTTGTTGTCGGTCCAGCGGTCGGTCGTTCGCGGACGCGGTCGTACAATTTGTCGAATCCGTGCGGAATAGGTATCGGTTGGAAGAGCCTGACAATCGAGCTGTCACGGGCGAGGATAAGGAGGAGGAGGAGGAGGAGGAGGCGAAGGAGGAGGAGGAGGAGGTGGACGATCGATCGGAGTGCAGCGTCGATCGATCCACCTGGCCGTCGTCCCTCGAGAATGATTACGTATGTTGTCGGTGATCGCGGTGAGCGGGACGATGCCCTCTTCTTATCCGCGCGCCGAAGACATCGATGAACGTGAGGCCTCGACGGTGCTCCCGGAAGTGTCGTCGGACAATGGCAGACGATACACGACCGATGACCCATCTAACCGCAATCCTTCCAAGTGATCGCTCTCGCGGCGACGGTGACGTATTCGCAACGACGACGACGACGATGACGATGACGATGACGACGACAGGTAACGTGACGACTGCGCCGTTGTACCCGCGACGTCGTTCTCCACATCCTCGGCGTCCTCCTCAGCGTCTGTGCAGGCGGTATTCGCGGAGGAGGACATCCCTCGATAGAGATCGGCCGGATGTGAGACGTCCACTGCCGACACCTAGTCACATCATCATTTCTTCGTGTGCTACCTCGCGATGAGAAGCACTTCGATGTCACCGACTCGACTACGCGAGTCTCGTTCTTCGACAAGTTCTGGCGTATTTCAAGATGATTCTTTACACTCGATTCCTTATTTACAGAAAGATCTTCTTCTGCTGATTGATGATTGCGCGAACGACGATAATTGAAACTGTCCAGATGACGATAGCAACGAAAGGCTGTAATCAGAAAAAAAAAACAAGTTTTCGTGTAACTATGAAAAAGGGTAACTTCGTGACTTATATAATTTTTTTACAATTGAGCTATCGTAAGATATTAATGAATATTAATTATTATCTATTGATATACATGGATATATAGTATAGTATATAGAAAAGTGTTTCAAGAGTAGACTACTAAGATCGCACTACAACTAGTTTCATCACGTAGCATTTAATCTTCTGGTTCTTTGAGTTCAAGTGTTTTTACTTGGAAGAAACTCGATTCGCAAAAATCGGCTTTATCTAGTTCGCGCGATTGTCCCAACTAATATAACTTCCTCGCGCTGGAAGAAATGTAGCAGTTGCAGTTGAACTTTTAATGTTATTCGAAAACTTTCCGATTCAATGCTTCCGTCATTCGTGTCGCAAGTGCGTCGGTGCTGCATCATTTATTCTGATTTTAAAAACAGCAACTTCGCCATAAAATCGGTTATAAATTCGGAAAAGGTATATTTACAAATATATTTATATATTAATGTATATTGCGTGTTGTCCCTGTGGGACTGGTAAACTCTATTCCTATCGACATGCTCAAAGCGGGCGTGGTCGATCATATCGTTGAAAGTATATAGAGCATTCAGCGTTTGCCATATCGTACTCTTTATACAGCTTTGCAGATAAAGCGTATGTCTCCAATTAGAGCTTCATGTATATTATTAGGATACGCCCCCTAAAATTTTGATCGATCACATAAATATAGCAGTATTTTTAGTACGTATTATTATATATTCCCAAACTTTTGACAAGTTCATATAAAAATGACATTTACCATTTTTTTACATAAAGCAAAATTTTTAATTATACAGTATCAAATTTGTTTCATCATTCTAGTTTTTATTAAAACTTTTCAATTAACATCGACTGCATCTGTACTCAAGCTATGAATATCGTGTTAAAGAATACTTAGAACTGATTGACTTTCTCTAATTATTTATGTGTGTGTGTGTGTGTACATCAAATGATAGAGATACACAGTCTAACAGTCACGGACATGGCGGTTAAGATAGAAGCGACAAACGGGATCACTCGATATAGACTTGCAATTCGATTGAGCACTACGATGTCATTTTAACCCGAGTCTGGAATATCACGATAAAGTCCATCGCGTAATTTTTATCAGTCGTACATATTTTTTTTCCAATTGCCTTGAAATAAAAAATAAAATAACACTATCCCGAGGTGGTATCAATTTTCAAGAAGAAGTGAGTATAATTGAGGATATAACGTGCATAAAAAAAAGTAACGCACGTGATAAAATTCTCAGAAACTTCAATTGCGTTGGCCATCATATCGAACTAGAGCCGCGATTATTATTGTAGCATGACTGCTTTCGCGCGTATACTCCCGGTTTTCTATGTTTAATTCCGAATCGATTGAAACAATACTTTACACCTACCGCTATCTGAAACACTCCGATAATTTCACACGCTTTTACTTCCACGTAAAGTAGATTTAGACATTTAAATGATAGCAATCTATAGACAGCTATAGAGATGACAATATTGCATTTAAATCTTCTTAATCTCTTGAATTTTCCATCACGTACATAATGTCTTTATAGATCTTCTTCATATATTAAATTTATGGACATGCATAAAACCATTTTTTTTTTTTTTTAATCTCTTTCCCCCCTCTTTTTCTCTGTATTTTATCTCTTTAACATTGAAATCACCATTGCAGTTATGTCAAAAACCATCATTGGAAAGTTATGAAACGTTTATAAACATGCGAAGATATCTGCGAGAGTTTTATCCGTTCTTATTCTGTATGTATTCAACTTGTCACAACTGCGTTGGCCAATTCTTTTAAAAATAGAATCGATGTTCTTTCCAATACGCCTGCTTTTTTAAAATGTCCAGCAAAATACAAACACTTATGACAATGTCGAACCTGCGTTTCAGGTAGTCATACTTTTTGCGAGTATTGCGATTTCCGCATATGTTGCTGGTCATCACAAATGCGAACAAAACCTTCGCTAATGTTTTTCATTACGCGATATGCTGGTCGATCGTTTTGTCTCAAATAAAAGATCGCGAAATGCATGCACTGAAAATGTAGAGATTTGCATTATGTATTCAGAAATATTATGGGCTATAAGATATGCATGAAATAATAGCTTTACTCTTTACTTCATACAAAGCAAATAAGATTAGAGTTTACACTAATTAATATTTATATAGATATAATTATATATATTTATGTAGAGTTATATTTTTATATACAATATTATTTTTGGTTAAATAACTAAAAATTTATAATGCAATAATAAATGCAGTTTCTACTAGTTTTTTTACTTACTGATTATTATACTGTTAGTTACTTACACTATTATTACAATTATATAATATTAAAATTTATTTCTATAATTTATATATATATATATATATATAATAGGATATTTATCTGTGCATGCTTTAAACAAAAAAGTAAATCAGAGCGACTGAAAGTTTATAAAGTTTGCAAAGAGCGAAACTTCGCTTGATGCGAGACGTAGAGTTAGCGTTTGCCGCTTGATATTCATGATAAGACAAGAGTGGCGATACATCCCGACATTCATTAACTCACCGGGAAACCGACAAAGAAAGTTTCGAAGATATCTGTGAGAGTCTCCAAAAGACAGTTAATTCTTATGAGCAACGAAAATTGAAGAAAAACGAAAATTCCATGATTTTTCTCGAATATTATGGAGAATCAAGTTCGAAATAAAAATAAATTATAATGCTTTTCATTAACAAAAAATAAATTTATGCAATTGAATAAGCGATTTTGAGATGCCTAATTTTCAATATAAGTTTAAATGTATAATATAATTTTATTTGTTAGTAAATAAATTATGAACATCTATTTACTTAGTTACTTTCGCAATTTACGAAATTTTGCGCATATTAGTGCGATAAGGAGAAGATTGTTATCTAATATGCAGATCAATTTTACTTAGGAAATTTATAGCACCGTAAAACGAATGTTATGATACTATTTATGAAAGCGATACACCGAAAGCTCTTAAGGCAGCGCTTTTCAATCTAGCTGGTACTTAAAGTGTATTTCCAAGATGAAATGGAGAATATGACGTGAGTGTGACACAAACCGTTTAATGTTTAAGAAGGCAATATTACTATTGCTTGAATTAAAATAATAACCATTCTTATCGATCTACACTATTTACAGTAAAATCTTACCGAGAAGAGAGAGAGGGAGAGAGAGAGAGAGAGAGAGAGAGAGAGAGAGAGAGAGAAAGAACAAAGTGATACAAACACTTAAAATGCAAACTTATACTGCAGTTAAATTTAGAAATCTATTCCTTCTTGCACACACACACATGCGCGCGTGCGCACCTCTCTTTCTCTCTCTCTTTCTCTCTCTCTCTCGCACACAAATTTTCTAACTAAAATTATGCGCGCAATATTTGCATTAATATCATAAATCATTGTACTACGGAGAATCAAAATTAATAATCCAATTGAATAATTTATCTGCGAAAAATAAATCGTTATTCGATATGTCATCAAAAACTTCGATCGAAGACAGTCGAAGTTCTTCGCGACAAACATACACAAATCGTGACTTGCCGAGAAAAACAGTCAAAATTTATTCTTTATATTTTATAAGATTCAAATAATTAGATTAGAAATTGCATTTTTTTGCAAAAGGATTACTCAAACTATTGAAGAAAAGTGATCCAAGTGCTAGTTGACTAGGCGGGTTAGATGGATGCCAAGATGTATGCCGGAGAGAAGAAGCTCGAGTGTCGTTATGAGTCCTCGAGTCAAAGAAAAGTCTGTCTCTTAAGTACCCCGAGACCATCATGAATCTTATTAGCTCTATTATTATTATTAAAGTAGAATGCTTTCTACAGTAAATACGTAGTAAAAATTAAATTTGCAGATAACAGGTAGGATAATAAAAATAAATAACATGCAATATCGATCATTCTTTTAAAAATATTTGAATGAAACAATGTGTCGTATTATTGAATTTTTCTCGCCATCACATGCGCACCCCTATATGATTATTTTAATCCAGAAATTACTAAGAAATTGCTATTACTGTATAAACGTGATAAATGTTAGTAATAAAAACAAACGTAAACATTCAAGCAAGTTTGAATCCGTGATAATTTATACACTTATATTTAGCATTTGGCATATATAAAGGCTCAGCTTATGTTTTTTTTTTTAAGTTAATTTTTCGAAAACCAGAAACAGAATGTTGACTCTTTGCAACCTCGACACCGTTGTCTCGATATCTCATCGTCGGTGTCCTCGTCGTTATGTGACATTTCCAATTTGTCCCAGTTTACAGGATAAATGTACTTATGCCTCGCGTGCAGGCAAATGTTACCAATATTAGAAAAGAGAGGCCGAGTTTGCCCGGATTTACAAGAATTCTAATATCGCCCGAAGGTCGACCTAAAGTGGAAAAGTAGTTCGTACACGATCGATTAACTTAGTTTCGCGTTAAAAAAACCTGAATCGACATAAGGACGCAACGACGAGGTGTTTGTATTACATTGCACATAATAATCAAATAAAAAAATCCTTTTTATGATATTAGAATCAAACTTTTTAGATTTGATTCTATGACAAATGCCGCGTAAATCATTGGGATACACTTTATGTTCTTATATATTTTTCACATATTTTTAAAATCCCTAAACGCGACAATATATGCGGAATCAACTGCATTAGATCTTGAACATTTTGTTGGTTACGTCTATTCTAATTCAACATTATTCGATAATAGGGATAATATTATAGCCATTATTTACAATTTCGAAATTTTAATAGAGTTGGACAAAGTAACAATCGATATAGATATATACAAAAATTTTAGTAACTGTAAATACTCAACATTATTAAAATTTCGATGCATGTCTGAGAAAGCAATGTATTCTTAAATTTTTTATCATTTTTATACTTATTGTTAGTAGGATAAAGTAAGAATTTTAAGACGGAAAA